AATTGCCCATTAGCGCCTTATATTTTATAGGCTTACCAAAGACCCAATTCCTGAATACCCAACCTGTTGGCTCCATTTTCACACTTCGCGGCGCTTGCGCAATGTCCCCCGAATCCAAATTCGAAAACGATAGCCCGTAAAACAATAGAAATTTTCCAATGAAGCGGCTTTTGACACATTTGATGGGTTTTTCATAGGGTTCCAAGTGCAGAGCCCCGTCACTGCCAGTTGAGTCTATTTAACCCGAAAGACTGTGAGACCGTTCATAAATTCTCATCAATGGCAAACAGAGTTGGGGGAGTTCCCCAGTGTTTATTCCCGAAAATGTGACACTGCCCGCTATGCTGTCAGATGTCAACTAGCGCCACGCGGCAAACTCAATGAAATCCAATCAAGAAGTCACGGATAATCTCCCATTTTTAAGTGGGTCGAGGGGCTAGGAAAAGAATTCATATTAATATAAATATAACATTCTATTTCAACGAAGGGAGCTTACTCTTATTGCTGGCATGATAACTAGTTCCTGTAGTGACTTAAAATACAACTAAAACAGATTTTAAAACAAAAACAGTACTACAATTGAAATTAAAAAAGAATGGATTCAACTTAAAAGAATTATAAAGTACCTTATCAGAACAAGATGTTTTTAATTTGGATAATTTAAGATACTTTCACTTATCCAATATCCTATTTCAGATCGCAAATTTTAAATAAACATATTAGGACTTACAATCATTTATAAAAGGCTTACAAATGCTATTTAGGTAAATATTATTGTTGTTACGAGCTGTAATAAGATTTTTGTTTGTTATCTTTAAAGGCAGTTAAAATAATATTTTTGGGAATTACGATCTTTACAGAGCCATCACCTTACAGCTCAATCCTTATCCAAAATAGAACCATCTAGTTTTAAACGAGCTCTGCTAGTTGTGAGGTCTCTGTGGTTTTGCGGTTGCTTTTTCTCGTAGTGGTCATCATCAAAATGCAAAACCTACGCACTATTTAACTAATTTTTCGTCTTTTTTCTGGCCCGTGGGCTGCATTTTATTTATTTTCGTAGTCAAATGTTCTTTGTTGACCATACTATACAACTCACACAAACGAAATCATTAAACTTATTTGCTTTGTTGTGGCTCTTGAATTTGGCTGTTGAGAACGCCCACGAGCAGCTGAATCTGAATCGGAATCCGTGGATCTGAAGTGGATGAGGCTGTCCAGTTTCCCAGTTGGCCAGCTGGTCTGTGATTACCTTAGCCCCGGCTAATTGACGAATTAAGTCAAGTAAGTGCAAATGAGGCGTACTCGGCCACGCCCTAATTGCTCAATTTGCAACGCCTTCGAGTTGCTGCAACGACCTTCGCGACTGCCACTTAAACTTGACATATAACCGAAAATGTGCAAGGCAGTATCCTTAAAAATTATTGCACCGCTCACGAGTACGAGTTTCCCTCCAACTCCACGTTTTCGCTTCATGAATGAGTCGCATCGCCATCGAATTGAAAATGGCAATATATATAAAGGCTATAAAATGTATCCCAATTTCAAGTACGCCGCTTCGCAGCTTGAGTTTCGTATTTTTAGCTCATATTGGAAACACATCGGCAGTGCCACATGGAGCTGTAAAGATGTTTTTACCGATTTTAGAAGTCATAAGGTCAATGCTGAGCGCCAAGATCGTGTTTTGATTGCAACTCGAAGCCGGAGACATCGTCGTGTTGCTGCTGTGCTGCGATGTTGCTGCCGTGCTGCGATATTGCTGCTGCTGCTGCTGCTGGCATCGTCTGTTGTCAAGTGTTATGACTCGTCTGTCTGTTTTTATTTTTTCCATTTTAATTTTCTCAAATCAAAAGCTGCAACAAAGAGTCTGTTCTGTTTTCAAGTTTGGTTCCCAGACACATTCTCACAGTTTGTGGCGTTTGTTGATAAGGGTCAGCTTATAAACAACTCAAATGGAGTTGCTCAAACACAGATTAAACTATATGATCCAAGGGATCAAGATGTTCGCTGGGGTGGCAGGGATAAATTATGCCATTAGCCTAATCATACTTTTCACCAAGTTTCCATTTTTGTAGCATTTTTTATCAGCAGCATTTATTATGAAGTGCAAAACACTTTTCTCAATGGCTGTTTATTTTATTTTTTATGTTTATTTATTTTGTGTGCTTTTGTGTATACATCAACATGCAAATTCAATGCGACGATGACGGCTGCCTGCAGCCATAAAAATTCAATAAAAATTTATGAAAACTGTGCAGTTAGGGGGCAACAAATCAACAGTTGCTTCGAGATTAGAGATGCAGACACACCCGTTAAAAACGTGGATAGAAAACCCCAAGATGCAGCTTCATTTGCTACAATTTGCTACAGGTGGCCAGAAAAAAACATCATCACACATGTGGAACGGCCTTGCGCCTATTGAAACAGACCCACGGTAGTCGATCTTCGGCTGTTTACCTTTGTAGATCTCCCCAAGCACTTGTCTTGATTTTCTAGGCCTCCTCCAAGTTGGTCAAGTGTCCTAGCTACCAGACATTTTCCCGCTGATGAGCGGAACCCACCTGCCCAACCCAGCTCGTTTCTTTGTTGACTCCATGAGCCCAGCCCAGAAAACCTGCGCTTTGCACAACATTTAATCACATTTAGCCATTCGGCATACGCCCCGCGGGGCTCAGCATAATTTATACAACAATATTATAATGTCGCGAGACATTGAAAACGATCGCGAGACGGGGTAGACTGAAAACTTTTGAAATTCGTGAATTATTACTTGCACTTTAACATGGCTGGGAGCGAGACGATGACGACGGAAATATTTCCACAATGGCAGCGCGGGGCGGGCAATTTGTGGGCATGTGGTTGACATTTTATTGACGACGCCAGTGAGTCGCCAGTGGCGTCGCCACCTGTCCTCTCGGTGGGGGCAAAAGGGGGCAAGTCATTTGCGCCTGTCAACGCCCCGATATTTACCGCGACTCTGTGGCAAGATAAATGGGCTGCCGGGTCGGGTTTCAGTCAAATTCTAATTAGGCTCCCCCTTTAGTTATGGGCGGGTTCATTAACATTTCGGCTGGACCCCATTTCCATTACGAATTCGATTCCCAGGCAAGGTAGTTTGCAGCTTAGAGTTCCCCTTCGCGGTATTTCAACAACTCAATTTTACGCGGGCTGCTGTTTTGCAATAAATAGCCACAATAATGCGATGTCCAGCACTTCGGCTGGTTGGGCTAATGGAACCAGTTTAGAGATAAGCATTATTAATTTATCGTCCTATCACTCTCGGATGCTGCCGGTGTGCGGGTGTTGAGCCAGGTTATCTAGAGCCCATTCGCAGCACGCTTGGCCTGTCCACACTAGCTCACAAAACTTTAGACAAACTAATATGGATTTAAATAGTGGAAAGTGGTGTATAACAAAGAGTTACCATGGCCAAGATCAAACATAAAACGACCATTATCAAGTTTTTGGAAGATAAGTATACGCGCAAAGTCCTTTAAGATATAAAACGTATTTCTATCAATTAGTAAATTTACTTTCTTCAACAAAAAAGTTCTCAATGACTACTTGTTATTCTAATTTTATGAACAAAATTTCCATTTAAGGAATCTTCGCCTTTTTAAAAATTCCTCTTTAAAGGTCAATAAAATAAATCGATGATCTTATTATTTGTTTCATATATGTTTTAGTCTTTGCTAATTATCACATCAAACTTTTACAAAATCGTATACTATACTACAGAGATAATCATTTAAACCAATCTCTGACATATCTTATGAAAATAAATAATATTTATCTGTCGCATTAATCTGTTTTATTTCGCAATGCCATAGCGAAATTCCCTGTTTTTTATCGACTGGATCGCAGTAAAAAAGCACTGAATGCCTTAAAGAGCGAAATTTACATAGGTTAACTGCGAGATTACTATCATTCGCTAATTGGTAAGGCCCATAGCCCAGTTGTGTGACACAGTGTAGATCGACATTCAGCTGGGTTCCAATGAGAAAGCCAAGCAGAGAAAAAGATACAAAGTGACAAATGTATCTGTGTATTTTGATTGAGAACTTGTTTTTTGTTTTCCTCCAGAGAATTCACCATCAATCCACTCGAATCCCAGAGCACTTTGCGGGAATTATCGGAAATATCATGTTAAGTGACGACCGACAATAAGGCATATCGCAAGGATGTCACTTTGTGATGTCTGTCCATTAATTTGAAATCGCTGTATGTGATTTCATTAGCGCCGCCTTTAGAATGTCAGATGCCGATCGGATCCCCCAGCCTTTATCGGCTTTTTATAAAAGTCAACTCAATGAGGCAAGACAAAACAAGACAATACAATAGCAACAATGGCAATAACATGAGCATTTAGCGCACACACAAATTTTAATTTCAAATAACGCAAAGTGCCACTCGAGATCAGAGCTCTTAACAAAAATGTTAAGCATTTTATCGGCCTTTTTGTATTTTAATGAAAAATCGGATTTTAATATGCGGGAACCTAAATGACAGACTTTGTCGGCAGTTTAGACGGCGACTAATCGAAAGTATCGACTGCGGCGAGTGTAAACAAATTAACGAGATCGTTTGCTGGTAATTGAGATGCCGATGTCGATCTAGAAGGCGGAACCCGCTGCCATTGCCAAAGGTTGCCTTTGATCGTGCCTCCAAAACGTAATCCCAAGCCCAAAAAAAAAATCAGAAATTGAAAATCTTAAAAATTCAAAATCTGTTACGCCCCCTGGCGATTGGTCGGTCCAAATTAATTTATGACAATTGCAGCCCGAGGCCCAGAGAACCGATCGTAAATTAATTAAATCGGTATTGGGAGTGGTGGGGGGTATTGGTATTGGTCTGCAAGGCCCACAAGATATGGAACAACGCGTGACGGGGCGACAATTGAAGGGCCTAGGTCCCCAAATGCAATCACAGCTTGAACCCGATTTCCACCCAGTTACTGAGTAACTAACTGAATTTTCCAATTTTCCGATTCTCCCCCTTTTCAGATTCAGAGCACGAGGAGCGTTCGGCATGACGTGAACTGCTTAGATATTCCATGCGAGAACCGAAACCATTGCAACTAGCCGCCCCAATCGATCGTCTCGCCCCGATTCGATCCGATTGCCCCCGAAAAGCGTCCGCTCTGGGGACGTGATCAGCCCCGAGAAGAGGAGCCCCCAGAAAGTAGAACCAAATCCAAACCAAAAACCCGCCACCACGATGGACTCACGCATCGGCCTGGACTACATTGTCGAGAATCGTGACTACATTGCCAAGCTGGGCGCTGCCCTGGACACGCAGAATGCCACGGTCAAGAAGCAGGTCTTCGAGCTGCTCTCGGCGCTGTGCGCCTACAGCCCCGATGGCTACGCGCGTGCCATCGAGACCCTAGAATTTTACAAGGTGAGTGGGGACTCCGAGGGGCTTACATCTACCTGATGGGGGAAAGACTACTATAAATTCCAGAAAAGACAGATTTTTATGAACCGTGTAGGAATTACTTGATATTATAGTTATTGGGGGAAACCTATGCATCAGGATCAAAACTTTCGAAAGAATGTATGATATATATGATGTGATTTTTTGTAATAATTGGGGAACTCCATATGGACTCCCCTTGGCTAACATTTTTTTTGTATATTCATTTGCTGTGTTATTGTAAAACAGAAATGGTTGATAATACGTATTGATAAAAATGTGTAAAAACAACAGCATGTTCATGTTAGCCCTAATCCTACTATGGTTTTACACAACAATTTTTTAACTAGTCAAAGATCATTGGATTTCGAATGTTTCAAGTCGATTTCATATTAATTTGGGGAAACCCATGAATTTTAGTAATTCCAAGAAAAATCCCATCTCGAAACTCTTGCAGAATCTCAAGAAGCAGCGATACCGCTTCAAGATTGTCATCAACGAACTGGAGCTGTCGAGTGCCGTCGCCCAACCGCCCCTGGACTACCAGGCCGCCCTGCTGGCCTTCATCAACTGCGTCATCATTTCGGCGGCCACTTTACAGGAGCGGATTCGCATTCGCAACGAATTTATAGGTAAGAGCGATTCCCACCATCTAATATCCAAAAAGAAAAGAAAAAAAGTCTCAATTCGCAACAGTGGAGATAAACCCGCAAAAGTCAACGGGTCGTTCCCCTTCTATTGTACACTGGTCGGCATATGTATTTTGACAAAATAAAAGTTAAGTATACTCATAACTTGAATTTACTTCTTGTAAACTATAGGCATCAATGGAAAGGTAATTTCAATGCCGTTTGAATGATACAATACATTTCTTTACCCATTCAGTACTTATTGAAAAGGACGAATTTGTGTAAATCAACTTTGAAATTTTAAAAAAAAACTTTTTTCCTCGTCTTGAAAACTTAAATTTTTTGATGCAAAAAGTTTCTTCAAACAAAAACAACAGTAACTGCAAAAAGAATTTTTCAAAAATCATTTTTCTTATATTTTTTATGAATTTTTGAAAATGCTTAAAAACAGGCATTTGAGCCATATTTTTGTCTTTTTCATACAAATTTTTTCCGACATTGTCACCTTCAAAAAATCATAAAAAATATAAGCAAAATGATATTTGAAAAATTCTTTTTGCAGTTACTATTATTTTTGTTTGAAGAAACTTTTTGCATCAAAAAATTTAAGTTTTCAAGACGAGGAAAAAAGTTTTTTTTTAAAATTTCAAAGTTGATTTACACAAATTCGTCCTTTTCAATAAGTACTGAATGGGTAAAGAAATGTATTGTATCATTCAAACGGCATTGAAATTACCTTTCCATTGATGCCTATAGTTTACAAGAAGTAAATTCAAGTTATGAGTATACTTAACTTTTATTTTGTCAAAATACATATGCCGACCAGTGTATGTGCCATTGGTGCTGTCTTCGATTTCAATGATTTGATTGATTTGCCCGCTGATCCAGTGCCCTTGACCGTATGTGCCCTACTGTCTGTTTGGCCAATATATACATACAATACAATATGTATATATTGTTTGCATGTCACAGAGACTCAGGTCCCCGGTTTTCATATTGCAGGCAGCCACACCAGCGACCCTCGGGGGCTGCTCGTTGACTTGAGGTTAGATAATGATGGGTTCGAAGAGACCAAAATGCCAAATTGCAAATCGCCTTTGTCGAGCCGAGTAACCTTAGCACGTGCCGACGATTTAGAGGCGCGTCTTAAAGCCAGTAATTGCTCTGCGAGCCATTTGATCTGGAGCTGGGAAAATCGGTCAAACGAACATTGTATACTTATTGCTGATTTATTAATTGTGGCAGAAGTTGTCGGGTCATTGAGGACGTTTTGATTCCAAACAAAGATTTCGCAAACGAAATCGTTTATTCGCTGGGTTACTGCAAGACTTTTTAATGATTATTTACACCTTAATGACTCGTAAAATTTCCATTATGCACTTATCCATCTCATCGATCTTTGTTGATCTACTTTTGCAAGTGATTTTCTGTAATCTGAAGATTAACTCGATTTCATAAACCTTTTTTATGGAAGACTGTAGTTTTTAAGAGAAACAGATTATTACGATAAATAGCTTATAAGAATACCCAAAGAACATTAAAACATAAATGGATGTTTCGTCCATGTTTTATGATAGTTTCAAAGTTGTTCTACAAAGGGATAACAAGATGAAACGTGACAAATTTTTAGGTGGTTGGCATACATATCCAAAGAGTTGTACACCAAATCGTGTTTGAAGTTAGATCTTTAATATGTTTTGAACGTGCCTCAGAACCCCTTTAGATTTATTTCTGCCTCATCTACAGATGAGTTCCAAGAGGAGAGAGTAAGCGCCCAATAAACAAAAAGTACTTAATATGTAACAAGATGTCTGTTGACAAACAAGGGACTCATTTACATCCTGTCAGTGGCAGATGCCACTCCCTCTGGAGCAGGGTTGTCCCTAGTTGTTCAAAGTTCATGAACTGCCTCCGAACTTCCCCCACCACCAACACGACCTCATCTCCCCTAGCGAACCCCTTCCAATACAGTAGAATTTCCTTAGTTTGAACTTCTTATCAATAAATAAGGGTGGTTAATTTAGTATATATCTTTTGATTTTATTTTCAAATTTTAAATATGAAATGTTTTATATTTAGGTAATAGAAAAAAGTAATTAAATACCCTTTTCTTTATTGTCCAAAAATTTAACATTCCAGAATCATTATTTTTTGTTAATTCCACACTTTTTGCGGTACCAAAAGTTCGTTTGTTATAGGCTAGCTTCACTGTACTCGGCAGTCGACAACCCGACTTTCTGACTTTGATTGAGCGCGTTTGTGCGTGCCTGGTGGTTGTTGCTTTCGATGTTTCCTTCTGCGCAGACGCAACACTGCCGTAATGTGGTGCACTGAATGCCTGTGGCTGCACTTGCCTGAAAATGGGGGGAAGTGCAGGGGTAACTTTACCGAGAAGCGGCCTTTTTATTGTTCTTAATTAAAATAAATTGAGCTGCGCTTTTTCAGCATTACAAGAATCAAACCCCAGTGACAAAGCAAAGAAGTAGCAAGACAAATTCGAAATCTCAACGGCTGCGACAAAATGTAAGTCACGCCGCAAGTCAGCGCCCCCGTAACTCCCCCATTTTCTGATTCTGATTTCGATCCCATACCGATTCCTGGGGCATTCCTGAACGACACATTTGACAAGCAACGGCCGCACTTTGTTTGGCAATGAATCGAAGTATTCAGTTTCAAGGCTGTTGGCCCGACTTTGACTTTGTCTTCGGCCCGTCGATTCAGTTCTTTTCAGCCTTTTCTGTTTGGCTTTCCAGGAACAACAGCCAACAACGCCCCGCAAATATTTGCATTTTTCAATTCAAAAACTCTGCGAGGCTCTCGCTAATGCCACTTAAGTGCCCAATTATCGGCTCGGAGTGATTCCAATTCCCATTCTCCAACGGACCCAACCATATAGCCATCATATCTGCTGTATGTCATCTGTCAGGCTGCGAGGCATTTGCCTGCCTCTGATTTATGCCCCATGATTTTCCACTTTGGCACGCAACAGTTCAGTTTTTCCCATAGTCGACCATAAATTTATTTGCTCAACTGTTTCGCTGGCAAAATTCAATTTCAATTGATTTATAAATCATCAACAGATTTACTGTATTGAGTGAAGTATTTAAATCGTTTGCGAGAATTGATTTTCGAGCTGTTGAGTTAGTTGAGTCTCTTTGCCTGGCATGTTATTAAACAATTAATTGTGGACTTGGGCGTGTCCCCGATCTTAACAATTGTGTTGTACATAAATTCCCGCTCTTTTGGCTGCAGGGCATCAATGGTCAAGCTTGACCTCTACTAAAAAAATACTAAGAATGTAGTATAATGAACTGAAATATGCCTGAGTATACCGATCAACGATCTCTCCTTCTAGTTAAGATCTCCCAACTTCCGAATATCCAAAAAAAAACAAAGATCGGGACAAAGAAACTTTTACTACACACTCACACACAGAACCGCACACGCATTTTAATTGTACGCCTTTTATGGATTTCAATTTCAAACAAATAAAATGACAGCGGAGCGAAGTCGTAAAACGAAATTATGAACGTCAAGGCACCAAATAAGGCGGATCGAGGGGATCTGAGGGACATACAGCACAGAAGCGACAACGACTTTCACGAGCTTTTCGCAATTAATTTTTTATTGTTATTATTATTATTACTTGTATTTACAACTCACGGATAGAAGTGTGCCTCTGTGTACGAGTGCATAAATTGATTGGTGAGTGCGCGAATAAAAGCAAAAAGGCGAAAAAACGAGCTTGACCGGAAGTCGGTCGGGATTCATGGGACATTGGGCGGGCCTTAGTTGACTTGCTGTCTATGGAAATCCCGCTTTTCGGGGGGGCAACGAATCATCTCTCCATTACTCACAAGCAGGCAAGAGGGCCAGGCAAAATATTAGAATAACCCGTGAAGAGATGGTATTTCCTAGAATAATATTTGTATTTTTCTCATACCCTAGGTACCATAAAATAGTAATTTATTATTATCTTATGAGTTATGGGTCATATTAGACAATTTAATTAAAATTTACAATACTTAGTACAATATTGAGTTTAAATATATATTACCTATATAACGAAGCTATACGTAAGGTCGATAAAGATGTTTATTTTAATAAAACCAGAACTCCACAACGTTTTATGAATAAAAAATTCGTATCGTGTAACATCATTTATCTTATGTATAATATATTTTGTATTTTTCAATAACATTTCTTTCTTAACACCTCCCTTAATAAATTATTTCTATTTTTGTCTTGCAGGTCTCAAAGTTTTGCCGCTGCTGAATAACCTAAGGTGAGTGTTAGTTGAAGTGCTGCGATCAGGAGGGCGCCCGATAAAAACCCAAAGGCGAGACATTTTTAAGCACCTAGATTTGCTGAGGGCGGCGTTGATATTCCGATGCGAGCGTGTGAAGACCGCTTTGGTTGGAAAACCCTGAAAGTCTCCCACAATCAAGCGAATGAGTATCACAAACAGTTTAACGATTGCCGTTTGCCGCTTTTATGCTTTATTCGAATCGGACGCACATTTAATTTGCATGCGACTACATGAGCAGACGACCAACAAGACAAGATCAAGGTATTCGCTGATTTTCAGTAGATTTTAATTTGCTGCTAAAAAAATCAAAAAAAAAGGAGAGGATCTGAGGGCGGATCGCTAATGACCGCTCAAGATGCTTGTCAAATATTCGTCAAACTGGAGGAGAAGTCCATTTGAATGCCCCATCTGGTCTTATGCAAATAATTTGCGCCTCATTCGAGTCGACCAATTAATTCAATATTTAATTAGTCAACAATAAATCAATTAGTCGGATCTCTGCGACTCACCCTTCAAAACGGGTTTATTTATGGGCCTCCGATTGACAAATTTGTGGCTCTGTGTCGATGGCTCGGAAACGAGGGAAACTAGCAAATTCAATTAATTTCTGAAATAGTTCAAGCCCAAACGCGAACAATAACAAACAAGCTGTCCACATTGGCAGATTCCTCAGCTTGTCAGTGCGGAGCAGAGCTGACTAATTGATTGTCCCGGCCCATTTGTCTTGTGGCATTTTTCCATTCTCGAGTGAGGACCCCCTTCGGTTCTATTGTTATTAAAATTTTAACGCGCACACATCCACAAAGTGCGTAGTTTCTGACGCTATTTAATTTATTTGAAATTTCGAATCGCTTTAAACGTTTTCATTCAGCCACAACGCGCTTTGATTTGAGACCGCGTTCGTGGGGAGCAGACCATTCGGACCATTGAAATTTATTGTAGACTCGACTCTGCGTAGCTTGGAAGCTGCCCAGATGCTTTAAGCTGATTTTAATTGTTCCCCTCATAATGAGTTCTAATCTAATCAAAATCCCAATCTAAGTTGTTTATCATTCCGAGAATGATGGATGTGCGCTAGTATCGAATTACCGTCAAACTCATAAATGTCTGCTAAAAATAAAATCTAAAGTATCGCATTTCAGGGGGATTATTAGAACCGTGTCAAGAATAGACATTTTTGATTGCTGGAATTTTTAATGGCGAGTCTGGAAAGCAGGAAATTGAATTAAAAACAAGGAAGAACGCTATAGTCGAGTACCTCGACTATCAGATACCCGTTACTCAGCTAAATGGAGATATGCAAGCAGCAAAGCGAGATTAAAATGCGCCACCTACCGGCGGTATACAGATTTAAGCGTTATGGGCGTTAGAGTGGGCGTGGCAAATTTTTTTTGGATCAATCGATAGGTATCGACGAGACCAATACATTTCAGTTACAATTTTTTATCTAGCATGAAAATTGTGGGCGTCACAGGTTTTTGCGGTTTGTGGGCGTTAAAGTGGGCGTGGCAAACTTTTTTTTGAGTCAATCGATAGGTAATGACGAGACGAATACATTTCAGTTAAAATTTTTTATCTAGCATAAAAATTGGGGGCGTCACAGGTTTTCGCGGTTTGTGGGCGTTAAAGTGGGCGTGGCAAACTTTTTTTTAAGTCAATCGATAGGTATTGATGAGAACATTACATTTCAGTTAAAATTTTTATTCTAGCATCAAAACTGTAGGAGCCACAGTTTTGGGCGGTTTGTGGGCGTTAGAGTGGGCGTGGCACTCTACTGAAACAAACTTGCGCTGCGCAGGAATCTCAGGAATCTGCGTGCCTAATCCCAGTATTGTAACTCTCATAGTTTCCGAGATCTCAGCGTTCATACGGACAGACGGACAGACGGACAGACGGACAGACGGACAGACGGACAGACGGACAGACGGACAGACGGACATGGCTAGATCGACTCGGCTAGTGATCCTGATCAAGAATATATATACTTTATGGGGTCGGAAACGCTTCCTTCTGCCTGTTACATACTTTCCGACGAATCTAGTATACCCTTTTACTCTACGAGTAACGGGTATAACAACGTTCTTAAGATCAAGGTACTTAAACTTTGAAATGGGTGCGTTCTACGCAACGGTTTCAAATTGAAATATTGATTCTAACTGGTTTTTCGAATAGCTTACCAACTCCTTACCAACTTTGAATCTTAGCAAAGACAACTACGTTTTAAACTGTTTACAGTAAACAATAAAAATGCTGTAAAAGTTTGTATATATAATAATATAATAAAAGTTCTTAAAATCAAGACGAAAGTGCTCTGAAATTGTTGCAAAATTAACATTTTTTAAAATATATATTAACTTCATTGCGATTTTCAAGATGAAAGTTATATCAAACCACAATTCTTCTTTGAAAATGTATTTTTCGAGTGTAAAACGACAACCAAAATAATAAAATAAATAAAATTCAATTTTTCTTCTTCTGCCCTCAAACGGCAGCATTAACTTCTTCCTCCGGCTAGTTTTGGCTTCCGTTTAAAGTTTAGTAATTTGACGTTTTGGTTGCCCAATTTCCTTGGCCCTGCAAGTGAGCCCCCGCAACTCGCTATAGACCCGTGACAAGTTCCGTGACGGACCAAAATAGAAACTGCTGGCCAAACAACAAAACAATGGAGAATCACGTGCAAGTATCCGGGTGTCCAATGTGCCCGATGGATGTTGACGAAGTTGCTCGACAAAATAGAAAAGAGGCCGCCTGGGCTGGGTGCTTCGCAAATACTGCGGGAAACTCCTGCGCGCGCAGCACGTGGCCGCCAAAAACAACAAGGACTCGGATTTTTGGTCCGAGGCTCCGAGGCTCTCCGTGTGCCGCCAAAAGGCCAAAGCCATAGCTCAAATATGAGTCGTCGTGCCAGGCTGTCTCGTCCTCGTTATTGCCATTCTGGCCGTTCTCTCGTTCGAACCGCAATTCCGCGATTTTGGGAAAGCAATTAAAAAAAAAGTGCCAGTCGATGTATGGATATCAATTGTCAAAAGGCCAAAAGCGGAGCTGCCAACAAGGACATTGCGCAAGGCTAACGATTTTGCACGCCGCTTATAAGCTATCAAAAAAACAAAATGAAAATGGTGTGCCTCTAAAAACTGTTTGATTGCCAAGGCTGTGACAGGCAGGCAACGTGGAGTCGTCAGCATCGCCCTCGCCGCCGCCATCCCTCTCATCGGAGTCCGCCTCCTCGGCGACGTCATCCGTTTCCGCTTCCGGATCCGTGACGCCATCTCCATCGCCGTTGCACCTGCAGCGGCGGGTGACTTTCTGCGGCTCGCTGTCCCGTTACAGCTGCGCCGCCTTGCAACTGGTGCAGAATCTCAAGTGAGTGGCTCGGGGGGATTCTTTCTCTTTTTTCCTCTGGCAGCCTCCGGAGGTTACTCAATGTCAGTCGGGGAGTTTGTTGTTCTCTATCGATTCTGGCCAACGTCAACTACTTGTGGACATTTCCCATTCCCTTACGGGGTCATAAATATATCTGTATATATATTTATTGCAAATACCTCTGCATTAATAAGAAATCAATTAAAAAGCTGCGAGAGTTGTCAACGGCATACAAAACAAACATAAACCTACAAGCTACAAATTGCCAACTGCAAGTGGCTTGAATAATTAGTGCGGACTGACAGATGGAATGGCATGGTTTTCCAAAACTTAACCCTCTAGTAACCAGTGGTACGTTTATCTCATTACAGAAAAGTCGCACAAAGTGTGGGCGATATCATCGTACAATTGGACGTATTCGTGGAGCAGCAGGAATGCGACGAGGCCCAGAGCCTTCAGGCGCCCGATGGCATCAATCTCAACTCGCATCTTGATGTCTTCTACGCGATTCTGCGACAGGTGAGTGCTGAGCCGACAAGTGCAACAGAGCGTATGCGTTATGTCGACTTAACTGGCATTGCCACGCGAGTTACGTATACGCAAGGTAGCCGTTGGGACTTGACCAAGGCTATGACCAGGCGGGTGGATCAAGGACATATGCTAATCATGACCACTAGCAAATTTTCATTTACTTGTACAAGCACCAAGAAGTTCCTTGGAGAACCAACTTTCAAGAAGTTAAAAAATATTAAAAAATTTTCCTATCTTATAAATGAATTTTACTAATGGAACAGTTTAGAGTAAATAATTTTCAAGATGGAATAATATCCACTATTAATTATAAATAAATATTAAACTGTTTAATTATATAAATAAATTTATATTGGTTAGAATTTGGATCAAATACACTTCAGTTACAATAATAATAATTTATTTTGATATTAAATTTATAAAAAAGACTATTCTTTTAAGTACATAGTTAAATTGCCCTATAATAAATTTAAATTAATACCATTTATATTCCATTTTCCACAGGTGGCTGACACGCCGCAGGAAGTGCCATTCCTCAACATTCTGCAGCACCTGCTGCGCATCGACCCCAAGGAGCCGCTCAGCGACATCATCTGGGACACCACAGAGCGGCTGGTCCACCGCGCCACGCTTCTCGAGAGCCACGAGGATTCGGTGCGCCTGCTGCGCACGCCCAGTAGCCAGAAGTTCGCCTGCCAGAGTTGCCGCGGCAGCGATGCCAGCAGCCCCACCCGTAAGCCTTCCCAGGCGGCGGGCGTGGCAGCTAAGACGACAGCTCCAACGCCTCCGCCACCCCCACCCCCGGCGCCCATGGCCCCTGCTGCACCACCGCCCCCGCCTCCGCCGATAAACGGCCGAGCACCGCCTCCCCCGCCACCGCCCATGATCAATGGTGGCGCCCTGCCCCCTCCACCGCCTCCGCCCTCGATGCAAATGGCATCACGTCCCAGGACACCGGATCCTTTGGCCGCGGAGTCCGCGGTGGCCACTGCCATATTGCTGCCCCAACAGGACACACCCGCCCCCAAGGCCAAGATGAAGACCATCAACTGGGGCAAGATTCCGCACAACAAGGTCCTGGGCAAGCAGAACATCTGGAGCATCGTGGCCAGCAACCACCAGGACAGCCCGATGCAGGACATCGACTGGAACGAGATGGAGGGACTCTTCTGCCTGCAAACCGCCAGTGCCCAGGGATCACCGAAGCTGGGACGGGATGGCAACCAAGCCTCTTCCGGTTCCAATGGATGCGATACCCTCGATCGCAAGGCGAAGAAGGAGAGCACGGAGATAACGCTGCTGGACGGGAAGAGGAGTCTGAATGTCAACATTTTCCTGAAGCAATTCCGCACCAGCAACAATGACATCATCCAGTTGATAAGGCAGGGCGCCCACGAGGATATCGGGGCGGAGAGACTGAGGGGTCTGCTGAAGATAATGCCCGAGGTGGATGAGCTGGACATGCTCAAGGGTTTCAACGGCGACAAGGGACGACTGGGCAATGCCGAGAAGTTCCTGCTTCAACTGCTCGAGGTTCCAAAGTAAGTAGTTATCTTTATAAAAAATACATACTTTATGATCTTATGACAATGATCAAAAAGATAAGATAAAAACCAATATTTTTGTTAGGTTTGCTAGATGAATTAAAATTTGATATTAAATTAAATAGATTTGCTAGATGAAATAAAATATGATATTAAATTTGTTCTGCCCAGGATCACTTTTATTTCAATCATTAATATTATATCTTCTTTTTCTGTAGCTACAAATTGCGCATCGAGAGCATGTTGCTCAAGGAGGAATTCGCAGCGAATGTGGCCTATCTGGAGCCCTGTATAAATGCCATGCTCTACGCTGGCGACGATCTGCTCAACAACAAGACCCTCCAAGAGGTCCTCTATATGGTCGTTGTGGCTGGCAACTTCCTCAACTCCGGCGGATATGCGGGCAATGCGGCGGGCGTGAAGCTGTCTTCACTGCAAAAACTCACAGACATCCGGGCGAATAAGCCAGGAATGAACCTCATACACTTTGTGGCCCTTCAGGCGGAAAAACGCAATCCCGAGTTGCTGCAATTCACGGCTCAACTGAGCACCCTTGAAAGTGCCAGCAAGTAAGTTCGCTTAGTAAATCCTTTTAATGTTCCCATACTCATCTTACTTATTTCTTGTCTTCTAAAGGACAACTTCAGAGCAGATCAACAATGAAATTAATACACTCGATGGCAGGATCAGGAGAATAGCCAGGCAGATCGAGCAGCCTGCCACGGATGTGGACATCAAGGAGCAAATGGCCGACTTCCTGCAGGCCGCCGAATCCGAGTTAGCTGTCCTGCAGGCGGGAATGAAACAGGTGGAGTCCCTGCGCCTCAAGTTGTCCGAGTTCTTCTGCGACGACGCGGCCACCTTCCGACTGGAGGAGTGCTTCAAGATCTTCCAGAATTTCTGTGATAAGTTCAAGCAGGCGGTCAAGGAGAACGAACGCCGCCAACAGCAGGAGCAGCAGGCCACTTTGAGGAGGAAACAGCGCGAGGAGCAGCTGGCCCGCAGAGCCAGGCAGAGTAAGTGCCTCCTAAATCCTAGCTTATATATTACTTGGAACTTTAAAGAGTTTATCTAAGAAACGGCTTACGTGAAACAAATTAACTAAATATTTTAAAAATTGTATAAGGGTGACAATTAATTTCTTATTTAATTCACAGTTGGTCAGGCTGGAACGCCCGTGTCCGATTCGGAGCACTCCTTCCTGGGTGATGCCCTCTTCGATCCGCGGGCCAGTCCCGCCCTGAGTCGCAGGCACTTGGGATCCGGAGAGATCAGCAATGGTTTCATCCGCCTGGAACAGGACGGTGCCTCTCCGGACATCACCCCCAACGGCAGTCTGAGGCGCCGGCGCAGTCGAGTCCTGGCCGAGGAGGATGACCTCATGGAGTTCCTGCGTAGCTCGACCGGTCCCCACGATGGACACAACAGTCGAGAGCGAAAGGCGGCCTACGGCAGCTTGGATCGCTCTTGGGCGCGACGCGCTCGTTCAGGAAGTTCCAGCCGGAAGCGACCTGATTTGCTCAACATTGACTTTGGCCTGGATCGCGAGCGGGCCAGTTCACCGGCTCCTCTTCTTCAGCAGCAGGCACAGGAGCGCCTCCAATCTCCGTTGGCCAGTGCAGCCGGCACGCCCACAACGGCAGCGAATACGCCCACGGGCAGTGGATTGGCGATTGCGCAGACGCAGCCCGTCAACGAGGATGCGAAACCAAGGTGAGGGGGCTTTTTAAAATGTTACTTCAAAACACACATTTCTCAAGAACTTATAAAGTTTTAAGTAGAGTAATAACCAAGGCATTCACTGAAAAATGATATATGATACTATATTATCATCTTTTTAGCTGTGCCTATATTTAGTATTTTGATCTTGTTCATTATCATATAATGGTTTTTTCATTTCCAGAATATCCCGTGAGTGGCGCCAGAAGATCGAGACCTGGTTGCAATCCAACGAGAGCGACGAGAAGCAGAACGAGGAGTACAGGCGCAAGCGTCGTCTGGTCAACGCCAATCGGCGATCGCTCGAAAACGAAACTGGTAAGATACCCACTAAAATGGAGAGCCCAATAGACCCCAAGTTCTAACCCCTCTCGCCCACAGAAAACGAACGAAAACTGGACCCCTTGCCGGAGGAGAAGATCCTGCCTTCGACGACGACGGCTACGCCAACGAACACGCCCACGACCACTAATCCCACTAACTCCCATAACAGGCCGGATCAGGATTCCGGGAGGTACCAGCGCGTCTACGCCGACTGGAAGCCCTCGAAGACGCTCGAGCAGACGGACGTGGTGGCCAACCTGCAGGCCATCGCCGATGCCCAGCCCCAGGATGCACTGCGTCAGTACCGCCGCCAGCGGTCGCAGGATCCGCCGGGTCCCATAGCACTCCAGTCGATAGCCGAAGAGGATCGCCGCAAGTCGCTGATCCAGAAACTGGGCGAAAGAGACATGAGCAACGAGAGGTTGCAGATCTATATTAGAAGATCTTCCAGCAGGGATCTGCAGCCGGCGAAAGCGGAGGAGCAAGTACTGCCACCCAAGTCACCAAAGCCCCAGGTGTCGGATGACACCTTCGCCAGCCTACTGAGCCACCATAAGAGCCAGAACGAGATGCAGGCTTCCTCGAAAGATGTGGATGCAGATAATATAGAGACGCCGCCGGTGAGCCGACGTGTGATAGCCACGCCCACCACCACAGTGGTCACGGTGAGCATGACGGACAAGCCCAAGGTGGCGACGGAGGAGAAGATTAGCTCAGCAGAGCAGGATGCCCCTGGTCACTTTGATCGCCATGCCCTGGCCCGCCGCACACGTCGGTATAAGAGACCCACGGACTACAGCAGTGGCAATGAGGAGCTGCTGACCACCAGCACACCGGAGACGAAGCCATCTCCCTCAAAGCCAGAGCAACCTACACCGGAGAAGTCCAAGCAAAAGGAGCGCACGATCAACAAGCTGGAGAAGGTGGGTCGCCACATAAGCTCCATCAACCAGGAGGACGTAAGGGAGGCCATCCGGAATCTCAAATCGCCTACGGGAACACCCGAGCGACCTTGGAGTCCACCGCGGGAGATCACGCCCTCCAAGCTAAAGCTCACCGCCAGCGGTCACCACGAGCTGAACGACGAGGGCTTCGAGGAGACCCAGAGTCTGGTATCCGACACTCCGTCCCATGGAAAGGGTGAGAGCACCAACTCCTCCTGCAACGAGGGAGTCAACGAAACTCCAGCCCGCCAGCGTCCTCTGCAGAAGCAGAAGCCCACGACCACCAGCATCACCCAGATGGGAAGTCGCCTGGCCGATCGCCTGCAGCAGGCCAGGTTAAAGGGCTCCGGGTCCCCGGGATCGACAGCCAGCAAGTCACAAAACCAAATCCCTGCCAACCAAACGGCAACGGTCAAGAGGAGTCTCTCCGCCAGCAGACCGCTGCGCATGCCCAATGGTCAGCCGCTAGCTAGTGCGGCGCCGCTGAGATCCGCATCCGCAGTACGACGCTCGCCGCAGGAGCAACAGGTCCTCGCTGGGGTGGAACGCAGCAGTTCGAGGAACAGTCTACGCTCCTCGCGATCATCCATCAACAGTGGAGCCTCCACGCAGACGGTGGTGAGACGCCTTCCTGCCGTCCAGCGAACGGGAGCCACTGTGTCAGTGGACTCCTCGCCCAGCAAGAGACCCCTGGCTGCCCAGAATCTGCGACCTACGCCAGGACGTGGAGTGCCAGCCAGCAGGAGCAGCAGTAGCGGCTCCAGCGTGGGACCCAGTGTGATCCTGGTTCGCAGCAAGATGTCCAACACCGCTTCAAGGTCGAACATAAATGGCAGCACCAGCTTCAAGGAGAATCAGTCCCAGTCCCAACCACAGTCCCAGTCCCAATCCCGGATGAGCGCCGCTCGCAGCGTGGTGCTGGTGAAGAATGCCTTGAACCAGCAGCAGCAGGCCAGGATGAATGCCACCTCGAGTCCTCAGCAAAGGAGCAGTAGCAGCAGTCGATCCGTCAGCAGTTTTATGCGACCCACGGCCAGCAGTGCCACCAAGCGCCAGAAGTAGGGGGCACAGGGTTCAGTCCAGACCTCGTCCAAGTTAACGTCCCTAGTTTACACATGTTACAAACGCGAATGCATCCAACTCCAAGCCGTCCATGCGACAATTTCGAATTTCTATGCAGGATCTAAAACACAAATCAACACTCATAAATGTTACAGTTGAAATATTTTGAGAAATTATATATACAAATCTAAAGAATTCCCTGCACATTCCAACTGAAGGTCCGCGAATCCCTAATACAAAAGACACAAAACTTTCAAACTCTTAAATATATTTGAGCACAAAAAAAAGACAAAAATACTAGCATGTACTACTCAACTAAAACTTAGGATAAGCATAAAAAATGTTAAACTCGTATTTTCCATATTTAACATATAGTTGTAGGCATTATTCGATTATACGATCACGTTAGGAGACTTTTTATAGAAGCGCGTTGTTTACAAAGTGTGTAGTTGAAGAAACCAAAACGACAATTACAAATCTTTAAAAATAAAAGAACATAAGCTTTAATCTTCATAATAAATAAACTAGAAAACTACGATCGACTAAGGCTAAGCAGCTATGCCATCCAGGGAGTCCAGCAGCTCCCGCTGCAATGCGTCCTGGTGCACGGCGGTGGAATTTGCATAATTCTCCTTGTCAAACCACTCCCTGTGGTTCTCCAAGTAGCTGCAAGGATATAATATTAGATGGCTTAAGGCCCGGGAAGGTTTCAGACTTACTTTATAAAGGAGTCGAGGTGGGGGAGTAGATCTTCCAGCTTCTTATTGCTAATTGGCGAGGCGTTCAAAAACATGGGCATTTTTACTGAAAGCAACATAAATTGAGGTTTGCTGAAAGGTGAAAAAGGATAGGACCTACTCATCAGTCTTGCCAAGTGGGGAGCGCCGAAGACCATTGACTTTTCCGGCGGAGATTCCGCTGACAGAAGTCGCCACTTGAATGTTTCGTGGAGAAACCCGCGCATCTCCATGGGCAGTTTGTAGGCGGCAGTGTACGGCGACGAGCGGTCATAGGCCTGTGCCGTGTTCTTGCCACTGCTGGTAACAATGTAGAGCAGGCACTTCTGCAGCTGCTTCTCGTACTCGGTGCCGCCGAGAATGCCGCCTTCGATCTGTCCATTGGTCTTGCCCATTCCTGCACCCACGGGCGTGCCGTCCAATGCGACCAGTTCTGTGTCGCCGCTAGGATTGATGAAGTCATATGACTTGTTCAGGATCAGGCTGCAGTTGCGCATGTTGTCGTCGGTGAGGTAGTTGTGGATGTACTCCTTCTCTTCCTTGTAGAGCAGGTGATCGTCCAGGTGGAACTCGAAGTAGATGCGCAGTCCATCCACCACTTCCTTGAGCATACAGACGCTATAAAGCAAAGGGTTAATAGGCTTCTTTTGCTATTTACTTAATGGTTACCAACTTGGACATCACGCGATCGTACTCCCGCTCCATTCGGGCATTTCGACTCTGAGTGTTCCTGGCCCTCGAACTGTCCTGTTTAATGCCGATGGCCAGCTCCACGGCCCGCTGCTTGACGAAGTTCTCCATAATGGTCACGATGGGCACGCGGGCGGGCAGGGCGTGCTGTTTGCCCAGCTTCTTGACCATGTTTCGGTCGTACTCTATAAGCTCCCGCAACCGCTCGCTGACGCGCATCATGATGCGATCCTCCTGGGGGACAAACCGATCGGCAGCGGGATCAGCGAGCTCATTATGATGGCCGACGTCTGTTTGGCGTCCTCGGTTGGCCTTTGTCCTGCCTTCGGCGGGAGTGGCTTTCTCCTTCCTGTTGCCACCGCTGTTGTCGCGCGTGCGGTTGCCTGCTGAGCGCTGGGTGGGCGGCATTTCCTTCTCAGCCGTGAGGTGTCCCGTGTCCAGTGGGTCCACTAAAGGCTCCTCGGCGTGGGCACCTCGTCCGCCGCGCTTTTTCTTGGCCACCGGCTTGTCGGGCGTGCCTTTGTACGAGTAATCGCCCCTGCTGCAATGGGAATGTGGGTTTAGCTGGAATCCGTGGCGGTACCGAGGGGCATACTTACATTTGCAGCTGCGCGGCTTCGGCCAGCTCGCGTTGCAACTTGCGGTTCTCCTCAGTGTCCTTCACCAGGACGGGGGCGCGTACACAGCGATCGTAGGAGGGCCGCCAGCCCTGGAAGTGGATCTTGTAGTCGTAGTACCTCAGGCCATGTTCGTTGCGGCGCTCGAAGACGTTTAGAACCTGTGGGGAAAATGGGTCAGGGAAAATGGAAAATTTAGCGGTGAAAACTCCGCTTCTGACGTTTGTTTGACGTTTCAACGCGCGTTGGTGTGCGCGTGTGTGTGCGTACCTTGCTGGTGTAAAGAACTCGGGCCTTCGTTTTATCCGGTTCGTAACAAAGGACTATCTCGCCCTTGTGGAACATCGGCACCTCGTCCTTCAGCTCCATCATCACCTGGGCAAAGCGAGGGATTAATAATTCACTTAATTCTAGAAATTGTAAATATTCAATTCTGGCGTCGCTCCAGTGCTACCAGATGCTGAGATGGCTTTAAAAATACCCGAAAAACGGTTGGCCGATAACGATAATAATTTTATGGTCACACCGATACTTATCGTACATTGCCTTTAGAAGTGTATCGATATTTCTACGACGATTTGTGGAGTTATCTTAACATATTTGATTTTTGGGCGCGAGCTCTTTTAATTTACTACAGCTGTGTATAATGGCAAAAATTGTATATTTGGGAAAATAAAAATTTGATTATTCACATTTTAGTTTACCTTAGAAAAACAGGTGTACCTGAAATAATTATGGATTTGCGAAAGAAAGAGTTATAGCTATAGCAGCCTAGTAAAGAAGTACGGCCATCCTGGTTGCTAGGGGCAAGGAAAACCAAAACAAAGGCATGTCCTGAATCACCTGTTCGTTTTCACTCTGTCCAGCCAAGTAATCCGCAAGATCCTGCCATGGCCGGTGCTCCCAACTGGCTCCATGTGGACACGGAGGACGAGGGTCCTTCGCCGCATCTCACCACCCTCTCCAGCTGCTTGGCCTTGAGCGATGTCCAGTGCGACGGATATGTCCGTCTGCTGGCGGCGGACATTTCGCTGGATGACGACGCCGAGGAGCCCAGTGCCACCTTGAAGGTTTTCCGGGGACTCAAGCTCAAGCACGAGCAGCCGCTGCCGGGAATTCCCACGGCCCTCGAAAGTCTCTACATCGATGAAACGGAACCGAAAACACCGGGTATGAGCAAGTACTGCTACAAAGAAAAGTGATTTTAATAGCCGTTTAAGAGGTTACTCCATTCTGAAAGGCCAATACATTATGCTTGAACTAAATTAGCTACAATGTATTTTATTTTATAATACGGACTAACGAAGGATCCTAAAAGCTGATTACCCCAACTTCCACCGCTAATTCTTTTAAACTTCCAGTTATTGCAGTGGCCATCGCCGAGTCAGTGCTGTTCTATCGTCACCTAAAGCCGTACTTTAAGTACACAATTCCCGCCTTGGAGTCCGAAGACCTCGAGCTGGAGGTGTGGCGTAAGCTGCCTGTGATGAAGTCAAGCTCACATCCTGCCCTGCTGGACTCCCTGCGGAACATTGACCACTCCAAGCTGTCGCGGAAATCGCAGCGACTTCTGCAAATGAGCGAGGAGGAGCGCGAGGACTTCATCGCCACCCACAAGGACTCGCCGGTGGGTCGAGTGGGCAGTATCGTGGCTATGTGCTGCCTAAAGCGCATCTCCAGCGATGCCAATCCCCCCTCCCACCTGGTACTAGCCACCGATTCCGGACACATCCTGATCCTGGAGCCACAGGGTTTTAACCTGGTTTTTCAGGGCAGGACCTGCGACGATGAGACCGCCGTGCCGAGCCTCATCTCAGTGCAGGGAACCTTCGAGACGGACTTCTGCATTGTGGTGGCCACACGAAATGGAGGTGTCTACCTGCTGCGAAAGACCCAATCCGAGGGACAGGAGATCTTCAAGCTGGGCATTCCCCTTACCGGTGTGCTGCTCCTGCCCATCGACCAGACGATCATCGCCTCCACAATGGACAATCGCTATCTGTGCTACTCGAAGCGCGGCAAGCTGTTGCATCAGGTGCAACTGGCCGATCTGCCCGTCTGCCTCCTTCCGCTGCCCATGATCCACCTGGGGCTCACCCTGGTGGCCATCGCCCTCAGAGGGGGCGTGGTCAAGTTCTATCTGCAGCGCTACCTGGTCGATGAGTTCTCCCTGGACGAGACGGTGGATGCCATGGTGTACGGCCGGATGGGCATGGAGGATCACGTCCTCACTCTAGTCACACAGTCCGGCGGAATTGTGGTTAAGATCTTGAGACGGGTGTCCCGGTTTGAGCCCAAACTAGGAGATATGGGGAGCAAGCGATCGGGCAGCGATCACAAATCCATCGCGGATGCCTCGATTCTGGACAAGCCCAAAAAGAGCTCAATTTTTGTGGAGCAGGCGGCGCGGGAGAAGCAGCAGGCCAAGTGTAAGTGTGATGTGTAAAATGCAAGGCAAATTAAAGAGTAGGTTTGGTTACTTCGATGATAAAATGTATTACTTGAAAGAGATAGAGAAAAGTCAAAAATTTAGATTTACAAAAAGATGTCGGGAACTTTTTTAAAAAATAGTATCAAATTTTGGAGTTCTTTATAACTTTTATAGCGTGGAAATCGTCAAATATTTAAAACACAATAATACAATATATTATTCTTAGGTGGTGTATTTATAAAGAAAATTTTTTGTTGTACCCATAATCGAAAAATATTGTCTTTGATATTAGGTTGGGTGGTTTTCCATAAGTAAAGTACTAGATATGATAGCGGTTGAATTACCCATGAATTTAGATTAGAAAATGATTCAGGTTAGTAAAAATCCTGGAACTGAGTAATCGCAAGATAAAGTTTTTTTTTTATATTTTACTGGTTTTACCAGAATTGTTAAATTTTATAAACTGAACAAGTTTATCTCAATTTTATAAAAAACTCTTTTTACTATACATGGCTTACTTTAAGCCTTATTTTAGTTGCATCTTTGAATGATATAATATTTAAATTACCCTGTTTCAGCAACCTATGGAAGTTTTCAGGTGGAGCTCTGGCGCCTGCGGCACACGGCAGCCCGGGCGACCATCGATGCCATCAATTCATCGGAGAGCACGATATCCGGGGATCTGACCCACGCCCCTGTGAAACTATCCGCCGAGGTCTGTGGTAGTGGACCTGCGTTTCGCCTCTACCTCACCGTTCAGAACCTGTCCACCTTTAAAATGGCCTCCAACCTGGTGGTTCTTCTCCACGCGGACAGACGGCACTATACTATTCCGCAGACTCTGGCCCGTCTACCCAGCGTTCTACCGGGAGTGCCCCTCCGAGTGGACTTCGAAGTGGTTGCCGTGCTGGATCCCATGGACAAACTGCCTCCGCCCAGCCTAACCCCGGATAACTCCCTGATTCGGGTAATGCTGATGAAGGCTGGTCAGGCCAAGCCCCTCATCGCAGCCGCCGTTTCCATGCCCCAATCCGAGGCAGCCTTCTAAACAGGATAGGTACATACGCAACTATGATTTCTGATTTTCATAATAAGATTTCGAGTTTATTTGGCAGATGAAGAATAATCCTAAGTCTTAGGCGTACTTGGGGGCGTACTTCTCGTACACCTTCACGTATGCCTCCTTGGCAGCCTCCTTCGACAGACCCTTGTGGGCGTTCCAGGCCTCGTACATGGCCTTCTTCTTGAGATCCAGGACACCGGGCTTGTCGATGTTCACATCCCCAACGGTGGCCTGCTTGAACAGACCGTAGAACTCCAGGAACTCGGAGTCGGTGGGCTTCTTGGAGAAGTTCTTGGCGAGTTCGGCGGCTTCCTCAAAGTTGACCATGTTGCTGGATTTACGAGTGATACTAAGTAATATCTCCCCTCCGACGGCTGCCTTTTATAGGCCTCTTTCAGTTGATATTACGAAATTCAATTAATTTAAATACGGCAGGTGCATTGCCCAATTGTATATCTATATTTCGAGACCGCAACTGCCGTATAGGAACTTTAATTAATATTTTTGTTAGAAACGTTAAAGGTAGATACTGCTATCTGCAGAGAAGGCCGAACCACTATTCTTAGTAACAGATCGTACGACTTCACCATGATAACATATGATAGGTGCTGACTCACGTGAATTAGGTGTAAAAGCATAGTGGATGACTGTTGAGAATCGGGGCTGGCCATTAATTAAGATATTGCCCCGTTGACTATCCAGATTTTAGTATATGCTGCGGCTCGGCCTAATCAATCAACCAGATAATGGGTACATAGCGTTGTGCATATGGCTCACTCAATTTTTGGCAAGTGCAAGAGCGGTGATAAGCTGCCGTCTGACTAATTATATATTTCAGTGCACCTAAAAGGAACTCTCACTTTTCATGATTACCAAAATATATATACCTTTCCGATAAGCCCAAGTGGGAACTACAATTGCAGTGGGGGCCTGATAAGATTAGCGAAAGGCGTGAGCCATGTTTGCCAATATATAAACGGTGTTCACGTCGAAATCCGCACAGATTGTTTTTGTTTGCCGAAATCAACTAGCTACCAACATGCTTACCGTAAGTTTTACAACCCCAAAACCATCCGATCGCTTGTGTAACAATTCCCTTTGGGACTTTCAGTTTGAGGAGATCGTCGAGAAGGCCAAGAACTTCAAGAACCTGCCCAGCAAGGAGGAGTTCCTCGAGTTCTATGGCTACTACAAGCAGGCCACCGTGGGTGACTGCAACATCGAGGAGCCGGAGGATGAGGAGAAGAAGGCCCGCTACAACGCCTGGAAGAGCAAGGCCGGTCTGACCGCCGACGATGCCAAGGCCTACTACATCGAGGTCTACAAGAAGTACGCTCCCCAGTACGAATAAGCAGTGCATTTCCCTAGCAAACCCTAGTCCTAGACACTTTCCTGTGAACCTTCTAACGATGCATGTGAATAGTTGTTGTAACTCTATGTATTTATTGTAATTTTATAATAAACAAAACACCTTTGCATTTAAAATGAATGAAATCGCGTTTAATTCCAAATTTACCACGCAATTTGCAGAATGCGATCATATGACCCACTCCATACTTATCTTAATGTGATTAAACGCTTGTAAAGTGGAATATAGAAAAATAAATCTATTCGTGTGTATTGTTTTTTCTACATCACGTATTGGATTGCCCACCGTCTACATTAATTAGTCTGGACTATCTACGTCTCAATTCTGGGCATTGTTGAAAGGTCTCATATCTCAAACTACTCTTGCTATTTGGTTAGAAAAGAAATTGGACAGGTTCATCTGGTCATCGCGTTCATAAAAATTCATTACAAGGCACTTCAAGGCAGTTATACTGGATAATTACTTTGGAGTAGGTCAAAAAGGTAGAGGAGTACCGGAAAGAAATTCTTGCTTATTGAAGAAATACTAGTGGCCGAGGTTTTATATAGAAATGTAATAAAAAAATGTTTGTATAAAAAATAAAACAAATAGATACAAATAAAGTTCAATATATATTATTTAACTAATATGGGCTTTTACTTATTTTTTGGAAACAGTTACTCATGTCTAAGATTTCTTTCTTATTGATATGATTCACCGAATCAAAATTAAGATTAAGTAAGTATTTCCGGTGATTAAGTAACCCTTAAACGGAACGAAGTTATAACTTTAGAACTGAATTTCTAACAAGAAATTAATATAAACTTTGATGAAATCAAATTGTAAAAGTCAGCATCCTTTTTATATCAAAAAGATATTATAATACCTTAAACTTGGGACCTGCATGTTTTAAAATAATATAAATTACATACCTATTTAGAGTGGTATTTTATTTTGACAAAATGTATAGGTATGTTTACCAACTCTTTTTTACACAAATGTTTCACAAAACAAAAGCACACTTTTAGGATGTTCCCGTTAAACGTTATTATTGGTAATCAATGTAATCATTTAGAAAACTAGATTTGCGCGAACATTTACTCCATTGAAATATTAATTATAAAACATTTTTAAGCAACCAGATTTGAAAAAATGTACACATAAATTATAATATGTTATGTTTTTTTACCCACAAGATTGGAATAGCTTCAAATTATTCATTGTTAGCGATGGAAACTAAACAGGTAATTTATAATACCATTTCCAATTTTTACTTAATTTGTTGAAAAGGGGGACAATCCAGCAATAAACAGCTGATGCTGACAAAGAAGCCACGTATATACAGTAATGGATTTATTCCATTTTATAATCATTTAGATTATTACCTCGTACCTAAGAGTTGGGGGCAAGAAATTCGTCATTATTTATAGCTAGTCGTAAAAGTTTTTCAGTCCAGAGACTTATCGCCGGTGAATCCACCTAAAGTACGCCCTTGGTTCCTAAAAAATGAAAGAAACGATAAGTGTATCCGGGGGCTATCTCCAATATCGCTACCTTTGACAATGTCGCTCGCTTGTAGTTGGGCAACGAAATTAGCGAAATAAAGATATTGATATCTGCTGATTACCAGCAAAATGGGAATATTTGACTTGAATCAATAAACTAACTAAAATGAAAGGCTTCTAAGGCTTTATAAGCGCGACTAAAAGACCTAGAAGTATTCAAACGTCTTTGCCTTTTCCAGTGGTAAGCACATTAGCGGAGAATCCTTGTTGCTGAACTATATTTAATTAGGACTTACTTTTTTCCATCTTTAGCATTACCAACAAGAATCCAATTTTGACAACATGGTGTCCGTAAGTATTATGCACAATGGATATAAATTACTAAGAGAATTACCAATCGGAAAAATAGAGTTTTGTGGAAGATCTTGGAAAAAGACCTGTCTTTAAAGACTTTAAAGTGTTTTCTATCTTTTTATTTAGGATAGTGCTAGGGTTATGACAGCGTCTTCTAATAGTTTTGTATTTCCAAATAGTTCGAAGAAGCCTCTGAACTCGCCAAGAAGTTCACCAAGAAGCCCACCGATGCCGAGTTCCTGGAGTTCTACGGTCTCTTCAAGCAGGCCACCGTTGGCGATGTGAACATCGAGAAGCCCGGCGCTCTGGCTCTGAAGGACAAGGCCAAGTACGAGGCCTGGAGCTCCAACAAGGGTCTCTCGAAGGAGGCCGCCAAGGAGGCCTACGTGAAGGTGTACGAGAAGTACGCTCCCAAGTACGCCTAAACGGATATCTGATTCCGGACCCCCCATACACCTGCGACTACTTAGTTGAACAATAAAGATACTCCAAGATATGAGCAATAATCAGGTGTTTGTCCCGCTGAGCGGCATTTTATTGGAGCTTTCGTGCATTATATGGCCCATCCCCCGGTCCCCTGAATCCGGTTGGTTTCTGCGATAAGAGTGCCGCTCGAACTTCGATCCGAACAAGATTACGTGGCTACGCTTCGGTTTGGTTTGGTGGTTTATCATCGAATCGGCACTGTTATCAGTGGGCCTGCATTATCACCGCCGCGATTGCCTAACCCACTCGAGCGAAAGCTCCCTGATCCACTGAGAATTCTCCCGGAGCTGCTCTCGCTCTCCGTACTTCTCACCGGGGAGAAGCTTTCTCGTTGAGGGCGATCGTGCGATATGGAATGACTTAAATTGAAAGTCACCGCCAGATTGGAATTCAGACACTGTTTAGTTCTGTGACAGCCAACACAAAAGTAAGTGCCCAGTTTAAATTGCCCGCAGTCTGCATTCAATTACCCCAAAGGCCCTATCCACCTATCAGTGCCCACTTATTGTGGTTGTGACACATAAAGTACTCATTTAGCTAGAGGTAACCTGTGCAAATTTGGACACCTACCATATTCAATTATGGAAAATTATATGCTATCAGCACTGAGGAAAAATAATGTGGTGAAAATTAGTCGAATTTAATAGTTACAAATATCAATTCTGGAACATACTGTCCAGAACATTTCGACTTTTAAGTCATTGTGACTTTTTGCCCCTAAAATAAATAAGTATTTTCGAGTATATTATACAGTTGCAAGCTTTGTTACCATAAATTTGCATGACCAAATTTGGCCGGTATTCCACTCGACACGTACAAAGCCCACGCCCAAATCCATATTGGTCAAAATTCGCCGTGCAAACTCGGCCGCTAACGGTTGTCCGCTCCCTTTACAAAAATCTCAGCCCAGAGCCAGGTATTTGCGTCTTCTGCTTCCGCAGCATAGATTCTTCAAGTTCTGCTCAAATTATGTATTTCTGCTGGGAGAAAGTCGGACATGTGTGAGGGCCTGAGCCGACAAACATCCATTAGCAAACATCCATTAGTTTCTCGAGATCGCCCGACGGGGCCAAAGTTCAAGCCCACCTGGCTCTGTTTGGCACACGCCAGCCTCTCCATTCGGAACTGGTTTTAATTATTACGCTAATAAACATTAAACTAAGCGCTTTATAGACATGACTAAATTAACTTTTTTACAATTCCACTACTTGCAGATAAAATCTAACCCAGAATGTCCCTCTCCGAGGTAAGTACTTCCCGCGAAATATTCCGCTCTGATCGCGACAGTCTATAAATTTTAGGGGTTTTCTTAAGTGCGATAAGGCAGCGGCTAATCACCTGTTCAATTTCTTCACACTGAGAAAAAATTTGTTTTTTTAAGAGTAATTTATTCTAAATAAGTATACATCGTGAAATGACTTAGCGTTAATCTTCAGTTAATATGTGTTAATATTATTCTATTCTATTTTTTTAGTCTCTTTTAAGTCAATCTGCATTTTATATACACCTATATTTCGTTCTTTTCGAGAGGTATACTCGATTTTCATTTTTTAAAACAATTTTATTTTGGTAAGCGTATATAAATAATGATTTTACTTATGTATATAATGTTTCAAATTATAAATATTATAATAATATTGACCAATATTATATTATTTTGTTCACTATATTCCATACCTTTAACTGATTTCTTAGTATTCATTTAAAAGCAAAAACAAGATAACGATTTTTTTTTAAATATACAAAATTATTTTTCCGAGTAACTGATGATTTAAAGATTTGATTGAAGTACCCTATAGATTGGTTGAACTGTTATACATATATCAATTATATTTTTCCCCAGCAATTCAACGCCGCCGCCGAGAAGGTGAAGAGCCTGACCAAGCGTCCCAGCGACGACGAGTTCCTGGAGCTGTACGCCCTGTTCAAGCAGGCCAGTGTGGGCGACAACGATACCGCCAAGCCGGGTTTCCTGGACCTCAAGGGCAAGGCCAAGTGGGAGGCCTGGAACAACCAGAAGGGCAAGAGCAGCGAGGCTGCCCAGCAGGAGTACGTCACCTTCGTGGCGGGTCTGGTGGCCAAGTACGCCTAGAAAGGGTACCGAAACCAGCAATTATCGATCCCAAAACCAACCAGAGACTATACTATGTAGTGTTACCTATATTGCGGAATAAACGTTGTATGTTAATTTTGTACTAAAAGATGTTGACCCCATGACTCAAGTGTTGCATTCGCTTAGCCCGGGGCTGTTTACCTGGCAAATAGAGGAAGTGGCTGCACCGATTCTCTGTACTTTGCACCACCAGTGGCGCTTGTTAGCGGCGCATCGTTAATGGATCTTCGAGTGTGTTTGCCCAAACCTCCGGCGGGGCTCAAAGTCTCCGGAAAAAGATATCCGAAATCGGCGACCTTGAGGCCTTCATTTATATCCGCTTAAGGCGCAGTGGAAATTATCGCAAAGCTCTCGATAATAAGCCACGATTTTCCGTGATTTAAATGGCATTAAATGCTTTAAATGCACCTGCAACATTACAACTGCCGGTAGCAACATGTTGCTGGCTGCCAATTGCTGAAGCAACAGGTGAAGCAGGAGAAGAAGAAGCAGACACAGAAGGAGAGAGGATAGCAGAGCAACAACAATGCCGCCAAGCGTTTTTTGTTTATGAATGAAAAGCGCAAAGGCAAAACGGCGATAAAATGGTGTGTGGGCAAAAAGAGCAGCAAACTAGGGTACTTGAGGGGGTTCGATCAGCCGATACCCTACAAAATGGATCTATTACTGATGTGATGTA